TTCTGTACCTTCTGATAGGCATTTTTTTAGTCATTTTTGCTGGTAGGCAAGTATATTGGAAATATAATAATATTTTTTGTTAAATTTTTAGATGAATGCATGCTATTGATTTGCATTCCTAACTTGCTACAGAAAGCATTAATTTAGTTTCGTTTTAAATATTTTCCAGAAGGGTGAAACAGGATGTTAGTTAATTAATATCCCACCTGTAATTTGGGAAATGCTATCACAAAATATCACTCTATTTAGAGAGTTGGTAAATAATTTTTCAAAAATAAGAGAACCAGCTTTTATAAAGTGAATGATACAGTAGGTGAAATTTTTTTTTAAGCAGAAGTCAGTCATGTCTTTGACCTCAGCATGAACCTCTAATAAACCATTCTGTCCTGGCTTAATTTTCTCAAATTGAAGCTTACTGGACTTGACCTTGACAGAGAGACCATTCTTACTTCATTGCATAGTTCCAGACCCTAGAAAGTCAATGAGGATGTCAGATACATGTGCAAAGAAAAAATATTTTTTGAATATAATCTTAGACTGCAATTAGCAAAAACAGAACAAAAAACAAGAAAGAATACATAAGAGCACCTGCCACTTTAGAATTTCTAAGACTTTATTTAGTCTTACTTTTTCAGACTGCAATAGCTGTTTTATTTCTGCATTTGTGTCTCTGAGTCACAGAACTAAGACTGAGATCATAGAGATGTGTGAGGGGGCAAGCAAATTCTAAAATCCACAGCTGAAGCCCAGGTCCAAGTTGCTGGGCTTATGACCAACCATGTACTTCCAGTGAAGTGACCCCTGCCAAGGTCATGGAAACAGTCAAATAGTGGTGACCACCTAAAAGCCAAGTCACATTTCTATCTTGCAAATCAATGCGAATTCAGTACTTAAAAGAATATGGACTTTCAGGGAAAAAATGGAAATATGTACAATTCCATGGGCCAGATTCATCCTTTTCCCAAGATGAAGTGAAACACTTTCAAATTTCCTTCTCAATCTTGTAAATTTTCTATGACTAAGTATCACTATCCATAAACATGCTTCCTCTTTAAAGAAACAGTAAAAAAAAGACTTTTTTGTTGAAACTAAAATCAACCTTGTTTAATTTTATTTTTGTTTTCTGATTATGAATGTGATATTTGCTTGTGATAAAGTTCAGGCAGTGAATAGTATTTTCAAGAAGATCACAAACATCACTTATCACCAAGTGATGATTGATAGTGACCTTTTAGTTAATCTAAAGTTTTGTATCTTTCCATTTCTTATATGCATATATGTTGTCTTAAAAACTGCTAATTTTCATGGTCAGCATATCATAAAAATTACATCTATTAATATTGATTTTTATTACTATCTTGTGAACTACATAACAACACACTGTATGTTCTATGATACGTTGTCCACCCCAATCCACACCCAGTAATATACATTTAAAGTCTCTGCAAGACTATCTAATGGTCCCTCAGGATGCACGTCTAGAAGTGAAATTTCTGAGTCAAATGGTACGCACACTGATAATTTTGAAATACATCACCAGATCGGAATCCAGAAAAGTACTATTCCTACTATTATTCGAGAGTGAATCCTTCCCCACCTGCTCACCAAGGCCAGGTAGTCTGCATGTATACCATTCTCTTTTCTGTATTCCACTCTGATTGTTAAAAAAAATCTCATCAAATTTGCATTTATTTAATTAGTGATGAGGGGAAATATTTTTCTGTGTTTCTAGTGGTCATTCTTTGTCTTCCTTTTTTCCTTAGCTCTTGAGTCATGTGTCAACTAGCTCACCCTCCTTTGGGGTATCCCTTCTTTTCTGGTTAGTTTTTCAAGCTCCCTTTATGTGTAAGAACATTAACTTCAGCTGGGCACTGGTGGCTTATGACTATAATTCTGTATATCTGGAAGTCTGAGATCACAAGGTTTGAGGTTTGGCATCCGCTTGGGAAAATCACTGTGAAACCCCCATCTCCAAAATAACCAGAGCAAAATGGACCAAAGTGTGGCTCAAGTGGTAGAATGCCTGCTTTGCAACTGTGAAGCCCTGAGTTCAAACCACAGCCTCACCCCTCCATCAAAAAACAAAAACAACTCTTGCATCACATGTTGCAAATAACTCCCCTCCCTACTTGACACTGATCTTGAAAATGTGCAGTGCTTTTTGTCATTAGAATTTTTAAGTTGTATGTAGCCAAAGCTATGAGTATTTCCTTTGCAGTTAGAAATTCAGTTTTACTTAGATACTTTTTTTTACCCATGATTATAAGATATTAGTTTATGTTTTCTTCTAGTATTCTTATGATTTTGATCTTTATATTATTTAAAAATATATTTTTTCTTTTGAATGACTAGACTATTATCCCAGTACCTTTCTAAGGCAAGGCATATCATAAACAGATGTAGGATGGCATATCCTGGCATTTAAATCAAAGACAAATGCTTGGGTTATCTAACCAAGGATGCAAATGTTAGAGCAATCTCTTCCTCTTCCTTTGTTTTTTTTTTTTTTTAAATGTGGTTTTAATCTTCACTTAAAATTTTGCTTTTGCCTGGATGTGGACTTTCCTTTTAAAAAAATACAGTGTGCCAGGAATCATGTACCAATAATTAACTCAGGGTTTCTTTGCCATAATAGTCACAAGGGAAAATATGCAAAGCCCAAGAACATTCCACTAAATATCCTTTCGGCCTCCTTGGTAGAAGGTGGTTGACAGACTCATCTCCATGGGGACAGATGCTGGGTTAAAGGAGAACAGATGGAGGGGTGTGGTCCAGGACAGATCTCTGTGTGTTGCCTCTGACTTCAGTGCATGCTATTAAAATGAATCTGAAAAGCCAAGAAGAATTTCAAGTATCTGACATTGTTATTAGCAACATTTGAAGATGGTCACATGGCCTTTGAGGAAGGAGCCAAAAAGCTATGTGAGAATGTCAGCCTGTCAACACAGGAAAGCATTGAAAATCTCAAGTCCCAGTTTGGATTGATTGGGTATATGCGAAATTTTAAGACACAAATATAAAGCTTCTTCAGTAGAGAAATAGAGAATATTTTCATTTTCCCCAATTTCTTTAATTGCCTAAAGATCTTTGATGACATTTTGGGAAGATGAATTCAATAATAAAATAAAATCAATGTATTCTTGTGATCCCAGAAATATGTTTAGAGCCAAACAATTGAGGATTCCAGCCACCAACCACGGCTGAGTGGCCATTTTTGGCCAGTTATGGTCTCCTGGCAACCTTTTGAAATAGTCCCAAGGACAGGTGGGGGAAAGAGGTGAGAAGAACAAAGGGACACCAATTTGTCATTAAAACATCTGGTGCAACAGGCCAGGTACAATGGCATCCCCTGCTTGTAAATGAGCTCAACTTTTCATCTGGGCAGTAAGTTTTTAGTAATGTGCTATCACCAAACATTCATTTCTTTTCTCTACCTGAGACCAAGCAGGAAGCATTCCACAGAGCCCTAACCTATAATCACAAAGACTGGCCTATAATAAATCTGGCTTCTCTATGACTGTTACTAGGAGCTTGCAGGTAGTTTAAGATGCAGATTTGAGTCTCCCTACTTCAAGAGTTTCTGAGTTTATTGGTCTTAAGTAGGCCCTGGAATCTGCACTGCACTTAGATGATGGCTTCTTTCCATTCTGAGAAACCTCAACCTTGGAGTCTATGTCCAGCCTGATTGGAGCCCCAATTCTAGCTAGTAAAAGGTGGTAACTATGACTAAGGCTGTAAGTATAAGAGAGGAAACATCTCCAAATGCTGTTTGCATTGGAGGTTTTCCAGTTTTTCTGCTTAAGGTTTGAATAGAAAAAAAAAAATCAAAAGAGGATGAACCAAAAACCACCTCTGTGCCATTTGACTATTCTGCATTACTTTCAATATTATTTAAACTTTGAGCCAGGCATGGCAGTGAGTGCAATCCCAGCTATTCAGGAGGCAAAAGTAGGAGGATTGTGGTCTGAGGCCTGCCTGGGAAAAGGATGAGACTCTATCTGAAAAACACACTAAAAGCAAAAGGATTGAGGGCATGGTTCAAGGGGTAGTGGGCATGAGCCCTTGAGTTCAAGACCCATTACCACCATTATAAACCAAAATCCCTAAAAAAAAAAAAAAAACAGAAAAAAACTTTGAAGCAAATCCACTCAATTTCCTATGTACTTCTGTCCATAAGGAAATAATATTCTAGTCTTGAACCATCCTTGCTCTTATATTTCTTCTATTTTAGAAGACATGAAACATCAAGGATTTTCGCCTTTGATGCTGGGTCATGTGTTTTATTTCCTAACCCCCACCTGAGAGAAGTGAGAGTGAAGTCACTGCATAGTGTGTCTTTTATTAGCTACAAATCACGTTTTTCTACCCCCATGTCATTGTAGAGACTTAGAGTTGGCTGATGGCCCTGTATCAGGGAGTTGACTGCATGGGAGATTCCCCAGTGAATTGCTCAAAGCTTGGGTTCATGCTGAAGGGTGCTTGGTATGTTTGACCAATATTCTCCAAATTAGCAGGCCCAGCTCAGGGCAATTCCCAGGGGTTGATGCAATCCATGTAGCCATTCATTGGAAATAAAATTTCTTTCATGAACTTATGGGTCATTTGAAAATTCCTCATTCCATTTTACTGTTTACAGCTAGCTGATTCTTTTCTGACCCAATTTTTTTGTAGCCCAATTCATGTGAGCAGCCAGATATGTTTTAATATTTAATCCAAGCTAGAAAAAAAGAAAAAAAAGGAACCAAAGGAAGAAAAGACTCTCTGAGTAGATCTCAAAAACTGGGACCAACAAAAAATTTTTCTGCTTATTAGCATCTTAATAAGATTGAACTTGAGCTTCTAACTCACTGATTTTTAATTTGTGTCCAGATACTGCTTTTTGTGCATGTCACATTGTTGATTGAAATAAAAGAACAAAAACTTCACAGCGTCATCCTAGTTTGTGTTTTGTCCTGCTTCTCTAAAGCAGACCTAACACTCTGTCTCCCTTTGTCCCCTAGTGCCGGAACTTTGCCTGTCACCTTCCGTTGCCTGGAAGAAAATCTGGGAATTGATAAGCGTGTGACCAGATTTGTCCTCCCAGTTGGAGCAACCATTAACATGGATGGTACAGCCCTTTATGAAGCGGTGGCCGCCATTTTTATAGCCCAAATGAATGGCGTGGTACTGGATGGGGGTCAGATTGTGACCGTAAGGTAAGTGAAGTAGGTGGGGGAGAAACAGCCATCTACCCTGTAACCCCTCCACATCGCCTCCATTAGACAGAGACTGCTTGAATTTCAGTTCTCCTGACAAAGGAAATAACAGAAAAGGAATTATTGGTAACCTTCAGAGGAAAAGATTGTGACAGAAAAGAAGCAGACTTGTGTGAATCCTTGTGCTTATATTGCACTTGTCAACTTCCTTCAGGAACTGGATATATAATGACTGTTAACAATCTTGGTAGTGTAGGCAGGATGGTTATTTCTATGCCTGTTTAATAGATGATGATCAGGAATCATGGTGATTTCTCAAGGGCCACACCACTAGTCATGGGCTGGCAGATTGTGACAGGGGCTGACATCAGCTATTTTTTGATCCAATTTTTCCTTCATTAAAATATGTTCCCTTCAATATTTCAGGGGATGGTGGCAGAAATGATGAAATACTGTAAGAAAGAGATTCCTCAATATAACATAACATTTTATTACAAATAAATAGTACATAATTTTATTTTTACTAAAGCTTTTCTTTCTTTCTTTCTTTCTTTTTTTTTTTTTACCATATATTCATCATTTTAAAAAAATTTGGGACACACACTCTCCTGAGTGGTCATTTAAGGTACACTGTTTCTCCATAAACGTAAAAGTCATATCTAGTAGCCAGGCCAAATTTTCAGCTTCATGCTTACAGGTAGAGTCATTGAAAACCTCCAATCTTCAAACCGTTCTGTGTTGTATGGACATTGCAGCATGAAGTAAAACTCTGTGCAATCATCATTTTAATCTTGTTGGTCCTGCTCTAAATTGGAGCTTAAATTAAGCCAGAAGACAATTTCTGGCTTCAATTAAAGTTAAAAAAAAAAAGCGCTAGCTATTGGTCCTCTTATTCATGTCCTTTCCCTACCCCCCAGTGTCTCAATTTCCTCATCTCTAAATGCATAAATGGGGAAGGTATTCAGAAGAAGGGCCTGTAAATTGGTAGACCATGGGCTCAGTCTTGCTTTGTTTGTAAAAACAATTCTAGTTTTATCTTATAAGACAGGTGTTTTCTACTTACCATAGTCTCTCCTTCTCCCTATCATTTATACATGGCCACATCACCTACCACCAACACTTGGCCCTTTAGGACATTTCAGTTTGTGATTTATGTTTCCTTTCCTCCCTCAGATTCTATGAGATCGGTAAATACATGGGTCACAGTCTGTGTAACAAATGCACTTACAGTAGAAAAAAAATTACAAAAAAACTGTAACAGCTATGACCCAAATAATTCATTCTGAGAAAAGACTAGGAAGACACTGATATACATTTTCAGCCTCTATAAAGAGAATGCTCTGCTTTTTTGGTAGCTCTCTGGGGGCAGTCTCCTAACATATATCACCTGAAGCACACCCAGCAATCTGAAGAGAAGGGATGGATAGTCATTGTTCCCATTTTACAATCTGGTAACATGAGATTCAGAGCATTTGTATGACAAACTCAGGTCTCCCTGCTATGAGCAGTGAAGGCATAAGTCAGATCTTGATTCTATAGCAACCTCATTCCAGTACACATGATCTGCTTTCTGAATTTGAACCAAAGGAAGCTTTTAGAATAGTGGTTTTGTGGTTTCTCTCCCAACTGGACATTAAGGAGAGGTAATGTCCTTTGTGCTCAGATTAAGGCACTAGCTTTTTCCTCCCACACTTCAAACCCTAGATAATGTGGTCTGCCCCTGTTTAAAAATTCTGCTAAGAATTGTGTGTCTGGTTAGCCCAGTTCAGTTTACAATTCATTCCCTGGGAAGTCTTCACTGGTCTAGGCATCACTTTAGCAGACTTCCCCAAAGAGACGGGGGTCTATGTGTGTTTGATTTCTCTACAAACTGAGAAAAGTCCAAAGTCAAGGACTGACCAGTATCTGCAGTAATAGTGGAAATTCTCACTGGCTGTGTTATTTATGAGTTTTGTGAGCTGCTATTGCATTGGAATGACCACTTCAGAGCCTAGCTTGATTTATCTAGCTCTGAAGTATTTAACCACCTCAAGGATATATTTGTTGGATCACAATTTCTCATACCTCCTTATAACCATTCCAGAAGATTTAGTGAATATTCCCGTATGCATTGGAGATCAGTTGGGTAACTAAGTCAATAAATAGAAAAAATAAAAACCCATCAGGTTTCAGATACAATATTAAAACCTAATAATCACTTTTATTTTTATTTTGTCAGCTAGACTGTATAGTTAGATGAATTTCATAGACTGACTTGTCAAAGCATCTCCTCTAGTAGATAAGGAAACTGAGGCTCAGAGAGTAGGTCACACAGCCATCTAGAGGAATTCCTAAAACTCAGGTTTCTAAATGCTGACATATGCTTCTAATTATTGAGAATCTTAACTTAGAAACAGCACTAGAAAATAGGTATTGGGTTTTATATTTTACAGATGGGGAAAATGAAGCACGGAAAGGTGAAATAAGTTGCCCAAGATCACACTGTTTGTAAGTGGTAAAAATGAGCTTCAAACCCAGGCTACCTAACTCTGGGGGCCTGTGGTTGTAACCATTACACTCACTGCCTCCACTATACTGCATTGCTGGGTTGCATGTGCTAATTTATTTAATTGTTACAGCCACCATGTGATGGCTGTGCTCTGGAGGAGCAATTATTACCATATATGTACCTCGCAGGGTCACTGTGAGGTTCCGTTTGATGTTGTGCATATAGAACCTGGCACAGACTCTGGAAAGAAGCAGGAGAGGAGAGTGGAAGGCCAAGCAAAGCAAAAAAGGCACCAGGGACAGAGGGAATTCACTGGCTGGGAGTTACTTCAGGGCTTAGAATTCTCCAGATAACTCTTTGCCCATGGGAGGGTGAGGGTATTATGAGGGGGAAGGGACCAACTTCCAAGAAGAATTTTCTTATAGAATTTTGTCTCATACAACCAAAAGCTAGCCAGATAAAATGGTCACAGTCCAAAAGGACACATAATAGTGATTCATAACAGAAAAGACTGGTGTAAATACAGTGACTGTGGCCAAGGTCCCTAAAACCTAGGAAGTTCCCCTTCCCTGCTGTTGTCTGTTTTGGGGGAAAAGACTGAGAATTCCCACCTTCATGCTCTCAGGGCTTTCGGGGCAGTTTCCATTACAAAGCAGCCTCACCTTGCCCAGATTTCCTGATAAGAATGACAATTCAGTTGGCTGGAAGGTTGTGATGTGCCTGGCCTCTGCTACATGCTTTTATACCTTTTAGCCCCTGAAAGCTTCTGACTGCTCCCATAAGTGAGCTGCCATCATTCTTTCCTTTATACACATGAGAAAATCAAAGTACAAAGAGATTAAGTTGTCTAAAGTCATGTGGTTAAGAAGTGGTAGAGCTGGGATTTGAATTGAGAGGTTGCTCAAATGCAGAACTTTCAAGGCTAGCCACTCCTCACTCTACCTACTATGACCTAGGTGGATTCAGGGAGATAGAGAACTCTAAACCCTGACACCAGCTCCACACTGGTGGGACAGAGGAAGGGTACAGATGGATTCCATAGATCACGTCCACTGAAGGCATCTGTACTATGCTGAGGAAGGGAGGCAATGTGGAATAAATAGCTCAACTCACAGAATATCTGGGGACTCCATTTCCTCTAATGCAAAATTAGGTAAATTCTGGTCCCTCCCAACTGTAAGAGCCCAGGATTATATGCTTTGTCACAGTGATTGCCTGGACTAGGTGAAAAACCTCTAAGAGGCTGGCTCTCAGTTGGATCCTGAGTGCTTACTCTAGAAATTGTAGAATTTTATAACTGCAAAGAAAGCAGCACCCCCTTTTCTTTTAGCACTCACCAAGTCAGGTTGGGAATCCCTATTTTCAGAAGCATCCTTCCATTTAGAAAGGACAGCTTCTATAAATAGCATCTATAAAAAGGGGGGAGGGAGTTACTGCTGGCCCAGAGGCTCAAAGACCCTCTCTTGTAGACAGGGTACTTGAACTCCAAATTAACCTTTTCCAAGAGACAGACTTCAAAATGGTGCTGGGTTACCTTTGGCATTGTTTGGAAAAGAGGATGAGATGCTTCAGAAAGCAAACTCTCTTTTATTCCATTATCATTCCCTGGCACCATCTTTCTGAATAATCTATTTTCCAGTTCATGGAGAAATGTCCACATGACTGAAACTTAATGTCACTCGGAATCTGTTGATTTCTTCCCCTGATCTCTACTCTGTTCGGTCTGGATGTTTCCTATTCTGAGCTCTCCTATTAACATTGTCAATGACCTCTTTAGACTCTTGCCACATAGTCCAAACAACTCTGGTGCTCAGAGACATAAAGGCGTAAGCAGAAATGAATGTAATTGTGTTTCCCATAGGAGGATAAGGGCTTGTTTTTCTTCTTTAATATTTTCTTGCCCATGTTTAGAGTTACAATTACCTTATTTGAGCTGGGTGATACAGTAGGCTAATTGGGTGTCATGATGGGACTCAGGTTCCAACTCATGAAGTTTTAACATTCATCACAGTTGGGTGGAATCCAAACAAACCTTAATTCCTGGGTCTCCATGGTTTAAATGTCTTGATTCCCTGGGGAGAGGGGAAGGGACTTTATGACTGCAGGAAAATTGGATCTGACAGTTGCTGGGAATGGTTTTTGCCAAAACTCTTTCCCTTCCCATGACCTGAACTTCTCTGTTCTCATAGCCTTACAGCCACACTGGCGAGTGTCGGCGCAGCCAGTATCCCCAGTGCTGGGCTGGTCACCATGCTCCTCATTCTGACAGCTGTGGGCCTGCCAACGGAGGACATCAGCCTACTGGTGGCCGTGGACTGGCTGCTGTAAGTGCCTGTATATGGGGTTCTGCTAGGTATTGTGAGAACTGCCTCCCAAGGGTGGATGGATGACAAGGTCTCAATAAGATGTTGTCAACTCCCCATGGCAACTCCCTTGCTTCCTCCCTTCCTTCTGTCCTCTAACACTGTGTCTAATTTGGGAACCAAAGACAGAAAAGATGGTGTCTTTGAGGGTCTTATAGTCTAGTGGAGGAATTAGGTACATTATCATGCCAAGTTAAAAGTACAGTAAGAAGCAACCAACCTCAGATGCATGAAAAAAATCTCTTGACATTACACCAAGTGAATGAAACCAGGTTCAAAGGAGTATGTATTTTATGATTTCATTTATCTGAAGTTCTACTAAAATAGAAGATAATCTATGGCAATAAAAAGAGATCAGTGGTTGTCTGGGATCAGGGGTAGGGTTGTGGAGATTAACTGAGAAGGGGCACAAAGAAATTTAGAGGATTGATAGAAATGTTCCAGATCCACAGGTGTCTAGATTTGTCAAAACTCATCAAACTATGCACTTTAAGATAGGTACATTTTACTGTACATAAAATATAGATTGATAAAATAGATTTAAAATGGCACACAAATAAAAACATAGTGATGGAGAGAGACAGGCATCCATTCCAGTCTACAATGGAATTGCAGACTGGAGAGTTATCAGAAAAGAGTGGAAATGGTTATTGAATTTGAGTGCTCACTGCGTGCCAGCTAGGTACTTTCATCTTTCTGTTATAACGATCCTGAAAGCTTGGTGTTATTATTCTAGTATTACAGAGAAGGAACCGAGGCTTCAGAAATGAAGGACTTGGGAATGAACAAAGATTCAACACTAGCTCTTCCTGGTTATTGAGCCAGCCGTCCTCTTGTTCATGGCCACATTCAAGTTCCAAAAGGCAGTGACAGCTGAGTTGAATCGTTACTGATAAGAGCAACTTACCCAGGACTGTGTAGGTAGAGGGGGAAATAGGACATTCCAGTTAAGGCCATCCTGCACAAAGGCATTGGGAACATTATGTGGTTCTAGAAGGGATGGAAGGTGGGGCAAGAGGAACAGCCTCACAGGCCATGTAGAGAAGGTTGAACTTGACAATGTACATGTAGCCCAGCTACATTTCCGTGTGAACAACATTTTCCTAGTATAGAAAATTCACTGCCCATGCAGGTAGGTAAGTCTAGCCTGGTGGTCCCCAATATGGCATTGGAATGAATGTTTTTCTTTATATTCTCTTTTTTTTTTTTTGCATTTCTGGGGTTTGAACTCAGGGCCTCATGCTTGCTATCATGAACCATTCTGCCAATCTGGAATGGATGTTTTTGAAGGGCCCATTTGGGGGCACTGCTGTCCTGTGTTCTGTACCTGGATGCCTCTTGTCCAGTCTTGGAGTTAAATGATAGGATCTTAGGCTTTAATGTCACAGGCATAGTGACAAGCTTTGGCACGCAGATCAAAATGTAACTTGACCTCACATGGTAGTGGTAACTTTTGTGACATTTATTGGCATAGATTTTAAGAGCCAGAAGCTACATTTTATGGACTTGAGTTTGTATTCCTTCACACTCCCACTCTTACAAAGGGAGAAAAGTGCAACAGGTTGAAGAGGAGGACCTATGGAGAGACTGGAGGGAAGCCTGGTCCATCCTTGAAATGTGCCTGCTGTGGGTGCACACACTGAGGCTTAGGTTAGAAATAGGAAGAGGTTCCTGAACATAATCTGGGCTGTGAGGAAGTCATGGATCTTCTTGGCTGGCTCCTTCATTACCAGAGAAATATTCTGGAAATGCCATTAGTGCCAACTTGGTTATTCTGTGTGCCCTGTGTTCGTACCAAGAGATAGCCTTCTTATGATATTTATGCAGACAAGACAGCTGAGAGTCCAAGGTGGTGTCTGGGTGTGGAGGATTGGGAAAGAATGGGATGAAGGAAACAAAGGAGTAGGGTAGGATTTGGATGGAGAGGAGGACGAAGTAAAAACAAAGCATTGGCAGTGGTTTGGGGACAGAGCACATAGTAGGAGCTCAATAAATGTATGCTAACCTCAACTCCACAGTTGCTGGGTGATAATCAGGACCTTTCCCGTGAGAAGAAAGACAAAGGAAGCTATTTAAATTCTCCTTGCTTCCCTAGTGATTCCTTTCTTACTTACTCCCCCAACTCTGCCTCTTGAGCCTCCTCAACTTGTGTTGTCATCTGGGATCCCTTGCCAACTGTGACTACCTTGCTCGTCTCTTCTTGGATTTATTTTTGAGGTCTAAAACCCACCATTAGAGATTCATCTTTTTAACGATTATTATGACAGAGACTGCCTCTCATTAAAATGCAAATGCCTTTGAGTGGAAAATATGCAGTAATATTATCAGGAATGAGGAAACAAGAGCTGATGCTTGCTGGATACTGCAATATCTGTTTCCATTTACTCTTTAAAGAGTATATTTCACAGATGGAACTGGGAATTAGAGAGTCAAGTCTTTTGGGTGAGGCCCAGTGGAGTATGTGTGGCCAGGTCACAGCCCTTCTCCCTACCCTGCTTTGCCTACTAATTTCATCAGTGGAGAGGAGGAGCAGAGAGGTCCAGAGTTGGAAAGGCTGGGGAGACAGGCCTGGTAGGGTCTTCCCTGAACTGGGGTTTGAATGTTTGTTCCCTTAAAAATTCATATTGAAATTTAATTTTCATTCTAATGGTACTAAGAAAGTGAGAGTTTGAGAAGCAATTAGGCCATCAGGAGTGGAACAGGCACCATTATAAAAGGGTGAGGTTAGCCCCCTCTTGCTCTCTCTTTGCCTTGCCACCTTTCACGATGCAATGATGCAGCAAGATTCTGGTGCCTTGATCTTGGACTTCCTAATCTCCAGGACTGTGAGGAAATAGATTTCTGTTCTGTACAAATTACCTAGTCTCCAGTATTTTGTTACAACAGCACAGGCAAGACATCCTTAGTTCTATATAATAAATAACCAGTGAATTTTTTGTTAGACCTGTTTTTTTCTCCCCTCCCAGAATTGAAACAAAATGAATGGCCTAAATGGGAACCAATGGGATGTGGTCAAAGCCTCAGCCACTCTTAGAATTCTAATCCTCCAGACCCAGTAGGTCTGCCTTTGTAGATCCTGGTCTTTTTGGCAATCATTTTGCTTTCAAGCCTGTTGGATAACAGTTATTTCACGAAACAGTCAAGACTCTGTCTACTCCTGACCTAAATGTTAGCAAATGAAACAGGAGGGCTGGGTCCTCCCAGATCACTCCATGCAGGTACTCACATGCTTACACTTGCACAGAAAGCAGGGTGTTGTAATGGCGGGACTAAGACAGGCCAGCAGGAGGGATTGGCTGAACAAAAAAAGATGATACCTTCAGGTTCACTATACTGATGAAATCACATAAGAGAAAATTCTATCCTGGGCTGGAACTGGAAAGAATGTTGCAAATGCAGAGCTGTTCTCTAGTACTGCGGCTCAGTTGGGGTTGGTGATAGGGTTCAGGAAAAGAGATACCAGGAGGCAGGGGACCTGGATTTGAGTTCTGCACTTAATGTCTATAGGACTTTGTGCGTTACTCTCCAGGCTTCCACTCTGTCATGTGTACAATGAGAATAATAATTTAAGGTTGAATGCAGGAGTCTAAACTCAGTGTCTTGGAGTGCTTTTCCAGTTTTAAGACCTGATGTAAGATTCTGCTAGTAATGGATGTTTGTATACAAATAAGCATGAGTACTCTTTTAAGAAGGAAAGATAAAGGAAGGGTTGAGGATTCTGGGAAAATGGGTGTCAGAACCTGTTGCTAGGTCAGAGCTGCCTTGAATGAGTAATAGTGGCACATTGTTTCTCACCAGCTAGAGGAGTTCTGGAAACAAGTACTTATTGGTGAGCTCTATGGCTGGTGGGTGCTCATTAGTGTGTAAGTGGGTGGGGATCTGAGCTGAGATTAAGGTGCAGGTGGAGGTTGGCTATTTCTTAGAAAAGTAGTTTGTGTAGAAAAACAAAGGAAAAGGAAAGGGAGCATTTTTTTCCTCTTTAGGCAAAATTCATGAGCTTTCATAACTGTAGCAATTTTTCAATTTAAAACTAAACAAAACTTTCAGTGACATTTAATGTGTCACAGTGTTTGCCAACTGTTGGAGTCCAGCCAGCCTCATTATAGCCAGCTAAGCTGGAATGCTTTTCAATGAGCAAGCTTGGCTGCTCTGTAAATGTCATGGTGAAAACCAAGATTCTAGGGCCCTAGAATGAACTCCAGTCCTGAAACACTGGATAGGCAGGACTGGTTAAAACTAGAACCTTCTGGGTCCAAGAAATTGTTTACGTTGGAACCTTGGTAGATATTTGTAAGAGACCTCGTTGACACCCCTCTCTGAAGGAGGCAAGATGGAGTGAAAACTTGGAACAAATATCAGGGGGTGGTAATGAGTAAGTGGGTCTGGCCACAGGTGGAATGAGAAAGTGAAAATAGAATAAAACCTAAGTGGACCCACTTCTCACTTAAGACTCTGCTCGTGAGATCTTTTCTGGAATAACATTTGCTAATTAGGGTAGGTTGATTAGGGATAGCATTCAGAAGGGAAACTTTAAAGAGCACCCATCCTGTAGGAGACATCAAATCTTCCATTACCATCCTTCTCTGGAGAGAATAGAGCTTAGGTTCTCAAACTTGAGGATGTACCACAGTCTGGTAGAGAATCAGGAGGTCTGGTGTGGCCCAAGAGCTGGCATTTCTCATAAGCCCCCAGGTGATGCTGATGATGCCAACCAGGGAGCTCACTGCCAGAAAAAATGGACTAGAGATACCCAAGTTGCTGCTCAGCCAGGAGTTCCTAATCGTGGGTATGTAAGAACCTCTTACCCTTTTTTGAGCAATTGTTGACAGTTCCTGCATCCCTCCAGTGAAAATAGGTTGAAGGGATGCAGGACGCCAACAGCTAACATTTGGTGAGTGCCCCTTAAGTGCTAGACATTTTTCTAAGCACTTTACATGGATTTGGTTTGAAAGCTGAAGCAA